AGAACTCGGACATCTCAAAAGGCCACACTCCATCTCAGGTATGAACAAACATTTTGTGTTTTATTAATACGACCTTCTTGCTCGCAAGAAATTATGTTCAGGCATGAATGAATTTTAAGGCCTTCATCTTCCATTTACTTGTTCGTTGCTAACTGATAACGCACTCAAAATCTCCACAACTTTGAGAATAACGGTTGACGAATCTCCACTTCTTGGACTTCTAGATGACTCACCAATGTTGGTAGCGACATAAGAGCGGATGATCGTAAGCCAAAGAAGGTAATATTGTTCCTTTTTATCGTTCATTTTGGTCTGAACGGGACGTATTGGCAACACAGAGTAACACTACCAAAACTGTCAACGTTACTGCGTAACCCACTTCATCTAGCTGAAAAGTACCTACTTTTACGTAGTTTCGATTATATTAGTTTAGCGTATTGTGTTGAAATTTTAAAACCTTTGCTACCTTTGAACAATTGTAAACCGATAGTATGCATACTAGAGGGAAGATAATCAGTTGAAGCAGACAAAGAGGAAATCATTGTGACAAAATCCTTTCTTTTAATATAATTCATTTTTCCTTGTGAATATATCAAATTTTGTAGATTGGTCACGGAAGTTTGAACTGACAATCTTTGAATTCAGGTACCTCAAATTATAGAATAAGGTATATATAGCATTTAATGTGTAGAATTAGTTATTAAGACACACCCGAGGAAGCCATTGTATGGCGAAACACGAGTTGCGTTTTTGTAAAACTATCTAGTGAAAATCACACAATAAAGTGTTTTTAGAATACGTTATACTGCTGAGATTATCAATGTCAGTTTTCTTATTCATATAATCAGAAAACTTATTAATTTCAACCAATTCAACAAAAAAGGCGTTTGAAAATCTTTTTTTCTGTATGTAAAACTTTGATATTAGATAAATAGAGAAATTTGGTTTATGTACTGTTTCTATAGAAAATTGCGCTAATGCCCATGATTTCTTATTGAGTTTTATATTACTTTTATGAGAAGTTATTCTATCATTAAGAATTCTAGATGTTGTTCCAACGTAATCCAAGTTACAATCGTTACAAGGAATGTTATGAATTACATTTGACTTTTTTGTAGTCTCCATTTTATCTTTCGATTTGATATTCAAATACTTTATAGTTTTAATATTTCTTTGGCATATTTTGATATTTTATTCATTATGAAAAAGATTCATGATATTTGAAGATGAATTTCCAAGATAAGGTATAGATTCATAAGAAAAATTGATAGGTGAACTATCATTACATTGATCGAAAATGTTCAATACTAGAAGTAATACAAATTCCAATATAATCAACAAAAATTATGTAATATTCAAACTGAACCTTTTTTAACTATCACAGAAACACGTAGTATCAATAAAGCCCTATTTGTTTTATATTTCCTGTTAATAATTGAATCCGCAGTATCCAATTTCATTATCAACGAACAATACATAAACCGGCATGTCCAGTCACAATCCGCACTTTCAATGAATACAAATGATAAATCAATTTTGCGAGGGGTATGAACACATATTTTTGAGCAGAAATCTCCTCCCTGTTCATTTCGAAGGTGTTGATCCATTGATTTATCCAAACGAGTGTTTCCCCGCTGCTTTGAATGTCGAAAACAATATGAGAGGCAAAAATGTGAGAGCGGCTCGTTTTCCAGAGGTAGTCGTCTCTTCATTGTCTAGACTCATAATGAAAGGTTTCGGCGCCTCTAACCATAAACTTCTGGAACTAGAAAAATGTCAGCAGTGGGATTTCATTCCACGAGATAAATGTGAAAGGGCGTCGCCCCCAGAATGCGTTTGGAAGGATAATACAAGATTATTACGATTTCTTTTTTGAACAATCTTTTTGTTAGTGGCAACCGGGCTCAATAATCGAAAGTAATACCACAAGACCTCAAAATGTCATCGTGTCGAATTGAAGTTCTCCTGGTTTTGATGTCAATAAAAAACGACCATCCTGTATTTAACCGCTCATGAAATATAAGTTGGATAAATCAAAACGGGCAACCCAGCTATAAATCACTTGCGACTAGCATATCACACACTTGATACACAAAAACATAATTGCTTTTACATTGGTTCAGTATAACTGACATGAAATTCACAGCAGCAGCGTTTTACAGCCTCCGGATAGACGGGATCGGAAAAAAACATTTTCCTTTTTCTAGACGCTCTCGAGGGTATTTGTAGCAGGAAATAATTCACCAGAGAACAAGTCGCGGAGGCGAAAATATATATAAAGACACGTTTTTAGGTTTCAGGGCGACAGGATCCCGAATGTGTTTGCGTGAATTGAATTCTTCAGCGGTTTGGATCTAATTTAGGGATGTGGAGGGTTTCGCAAAGTTTTGACACCGTCTCCGAGTGGCTTCGAAGTGAACATATAGACGGAAATTGAAGTGATATAAAACTCAATATACTCTGCTTCACGGCCATTAACGTTGGTCTTCATGGTGTGTAACGATTAGAGGAACAAAGAAGCGTGGTATGGGAGTGTCTTTATTTTTTGGTTTGGACAAAAATTCCGCCTCTTTCATTCTTCAAGAAAATTTCCATGTCAAGTAGAGTGAATAAGGAATGAATTACTGAAATTTTGAGTATTTGAGAGGGCACTAATATACAATGTGTGTCAGTGTGTCACATCGAGTGTCTACAAGAAAGGGTGGAGTTATCAAAAAATATTTTATTAAACAAAACAAAAGTAAAAAGCCGTAAAAAGGCTTTTACACCATCCGCGGAAATTCACTGATAATCCTTACTTTCATTTATATTTTAATAATTATCGGAGAATTTATGGGAATACCATCAGACTTGTTAAAGAAATTTACTTCAAAAATAGAAATGATAACAAACAATATAAATGAATTTTACTGTTCGATCGGACAGAAGCTCAGTCAGAATATTGTGGTAACATATGACCTACTGATTAATTTAGAAAATGTTGCAATCAATAAATCTCTTCAATTGGATGATAGGAATATTGATGAACTGTTTGAAATTGATTAATATATTTGAAGACTCACAAAACAATAAAGAACAATCTAATGAAAACATTTCTGGAGACCTTGATCAAAATCTCGAAAATTTCAATCAAAATTTTTCTGCACTAGCCTATGGAACTTTGAAATGTATAGCACAGATCGAAGAAAATTGCCTTTCATCGCAATTTCAATTCCAAATAGTCGACCGTTCAAAATTCTTCTAGACTCTGGAAGTCACATTTCACTTTTGAATCCGGCTTTGACAAAAAAACATTTTCCTCAATATATTTATAATAAACCGAATATAATAAAATCGTCTTGTGGACAACAAAACTCTAAATTTGAAGCACATATACCAGGTTTTCCAGAATTTCATTCTGACATAAAAATTATTTTTACTGTTTTTGATTTTCATCCATTTTTTGATGAACTGTTGAGTTTTAAAGATGTTGAAAACATGGGATTCAATTGGAATATTAAAGTAAGATATTTGTATAAAAATAATATTATTATTCAAGTCTTACTATAACTTTAGGTGGAACTGAAAGCTTTAGAACAAAACTTGCAGTTAATACTTCAGTTAATGGAACTTATTATGTACCACAAATAAATTTGAATCGAAACTGTTTCATTCCAGAAGGTATAACTACAGTAGAAAATGGCCAAGCAATAGTAGAAATTCATAATTTAAGTTCTCAAGATATTCATATGAATCTAACAGAACCACTTCATATATATCGAATTGACGATTAAGAAATTTATCAAGCTGAAATTGACGTTGATTATTCATTCTCAAATGAACAGGAAATTGAAAATTTATTGCGCCTCGATCATTTGAATTCTGAAGAAAAATATAAAATCCTAAAACTTTGTAAAAAAGTTTATAATGTCTTTCATTACCCTTATCAACCACTCTCTTCTACAACTCAAACCACCCATGAAATCAAAACAACAGACGAGGAACCAATTTATACCAAATCTTATAGATTTCCAGAAATTCACAAAAAAGAAGTAACCAAACAAATATTACAAATGTTAAATGACGGTATTATAAGAAATAGTTCAAGCCCTTGGTCAAGTCCAGTTTGGATAGTTTCAAAAAAACCAGACGCAAGTGGACTACAAATATGGCGTATTGTAATTGATTATAGAAAATTGAACAATAAAACAATTCAAATTCGATTTCCTATTCCTAATATTGACGACATTTTAGGGAAACTGGGAAAAGCCCAATACTTCACTACTCTTGATTCAGCCAGCGGCTTTCACCAAATCGAAATGAATAAAAACTCCAAAGAAAAAACTGCTTTTTCAACTGACTTAGGACACTTTGAATTTCTACGCATGCCATTTAGTTTGAAAAATTCCCCCTCAACGTTTCAACGTATGATCAATGAGGTCTTGAAAGATTGTTGAAATGTAGGTAGCTTTTATTTAGGCACACATCAAAAGCTGTTGAAATGTCAAAGGAAGTGATATGATATGAAACTGTTTTTCTGACAGTAAAAGTAATGGCAACTGTTTTTTTTTTGGTTAGTCATGGAGTTATTTCAATTGATTATCTTCTAAAAAAAATATTAGTTACAGGAGCATACTACGCATCATCACTTGACTAGCTGGCGAAAAAACGGCCACATTTTCAGAAAAAGAAAAGCCTGTTTCACCAATACAATGTACCATCTCACACCTCAGCGGTTGCTACTCCGCCCTACTCACCTGATCTAGACAACACCAAGACCAACACAGAATTTTTGTGTTAGTGTTGTCTCGGAAATTTGGTTGCAAGAAAACAATTGTGTTTTTTCCAATAAAAAATTGATCCTGTTACCCAACGAACCTTTCTTAAAAAAATTATTGGGGCACTGAACTAGTTAAATGTTCTTTGATATATTCAACAATGAAGATACTATCCGCCAACTTTAAATATTTTTTTTACGTACGATAAATGACATACAATAAATATTTTGTCTTTTTTTACAGGAAAACATATCCCTGGTCATACCTTGGGTGATAGGATTCATCACCTTCATGGCATTAGAAGCTGTAGCAATGGTGTACTCAAATGTCCTTAGGGATCATGTAAATAAAGTAAGTATAATTATTTGGAAACATTTTTTGTTGCACATATTGAAGGATTTAAACAATGAAATTCAAATTTCAAATCCAGCAAATGGATAAAGTCGTTTGTCATTATTATTACTATCGAAAGAGCCTATCTGAAACAACTACTTTCCCGTATGTATGTGAATTGAACAGAAATCATATTTTTTGTTATCGATTTTTGGAAAAAAATGTTCAGAAACTATCTGTATGGAATTTTCTTCTCTCTATGGAAGTATGATGAATGAGAAATTATTTTTTCAAATTCCAGAATACCTCATTTTGCCCCCTCATGGCATACTACTCTCGTACCCAATGATCACTCACCCTAGAGAGTAGAAATTGATCGTTAATTGATAATGCCGTTTTCCGAATATGTGACAGCTTTAAGTCTTAGTGGATGAGTGAGTCCAGACAAAGTAACGAAAAAAAAAGATTGAATTCATAGTGTTCTGCACATTTTGCTTGTTATGCAATTCAAAGACTATTATATTTTGACTAAAACAGAACTTGAGGGTTGGGTGAATTTGCATTTTCTGTTAAGGTTAAGGACCTCATTCCCAACTCCGATTTTGGTCGAAAAATAGAGTTTGTAAATCGCCCAAGAAGGAAAGGTTGCAGAACAGGACCTTCAGCGATAGAAATTTCATGATTTCCTGAATTTCTGATCCCCCTTTGTCCACAAGGCATGGTATATTTCCTTAAGCAGCGGAGTAATGAACCATTTTCAAGTACCTGTTCTATTGACGTACATCATTGAGTTGACTGAAACACGAAAAATTTATTCAGAATACTCAATGTTATTGTATGATTTGATATAACAAATTCAAAAAAAGCTTTTTTTAATTATATGTTTAAGATTTTATTATGAAAAAATTCAGAATACACGTTACTGATCAATTTGGTGTTGGTTTCCTAATAGATCAAATTGTTGTCAATTCAAAACATTCAACTCAATGTAACTCATGAGCTTTTGCTCAAATTGAGAAACATCGTAATACCTCAAAAAAAAAAGATGTAATCTGTAATCGTATTCTGTAAGAATTCCCGTTGATTCATTTCCATTATTTTACTATTCAACAACCTCCGTATCTACACTGTATTTTGTCAGACAAAAGAAATTTATTTCTCATTTCAATTACAGCCACGACAGAAAAAATTACCCGATTTACATAAATTTACATTTGTTGCAGGAATTCGACGCTCTCTGCAAAGCCGAGGTAGCGTTTTTTATTTCCCGAACATTGATAAACGTAAGTACAGAAACAATTCGAACAGAGTTTGGACTTTCAAGTAGATATCGTTCGCTGCACAGGCTTGGCTGATAAATTCAAGTTTGAAATTAGTTCTCCGCTTCCGATGAATTTTTCTGATTCTCGTAATCCCTGCCGAGTCACACGTGTTTGATGCCTGTGAAAATTGGCACAAGTGAAGGGTTTTTATTTCTCTTATAGGAGGTGAAGTTTCAAATCATACGTTGTAGAAGTTTGCAGTTCATGAATGTTGCGTTGTTTATCACCTGAAAATAAATAATAAAATTGTCTACCTACCAGAAAATTGAATGTATCTACACATGGAATGAAAGGAAAATTTTTAACGAGTATAACACGTGTTTGGATATCTTTGGTTGTCATCAGTATGGTGAAGCCAAGAGTAAGAATGTGCAACAGTTTCTCATAAGAAAGCACATCATCAATAGAAGTCAACAACAGTATTCACAAGAATGGCACCCAAATTCGAATGGAAAAAGCTACAGTTACCTGCGTGCTATTCACAAACCTTCAGAAATGAAGGTTTGTCAGGTCTCTTGATATATCTCAAGGAAAAAGTTGTAACGATATCAGCACTCATTGACACGTGTTTCGGGATAGATGGCCCTCATCACTATGATGTCGTACAGTGTATGGTTGGGCAGAACTTGGTTACAAGGCAAAAGTATGATGTTATCAAAGAAACCATCCTCACTTCCGCAATTTTTACTTAAAGACACTGACATGTTCACAAGGAAACTACCAAAATAACCAAAAAGACAGCTTCTATTACCATCGTGATATCTGAGTTCAGCAGATGAGGCAGGTTTTTCAGTGTTTTTATGCGGATCGTAGAGAGAGTTGGCTATACCAACTTTCTTTGCCCGTTAAAATTTTCTTACTGATTCAATGTAATTTTACAAGAGATGTAAAAAATCAACTGTAAACTGTTGAATACTTGTATTTTTAACTAACGTGACTGCAGTTTGGTACTACAAGGACCTTTTCTAACAACTAAAGAGTGAGTTCATTGTTCATTCGCTTTTCATGAGGAACTCCTACCACGTAATAACGGCTACATCCATTTGTTTTAATACTCATTTGTATTTTCACCACTTTTCAAAACTCTTGAATGAATATAACATTGCTGTTTGTTCAATTATAGCTCAATAGTGAAGCACAGGCTTTTATTGTTTTACTTTAAATAACTCTGTACAGAAACAACAAGCACAAAGTCTCAGAAATTTTTCAAATAAGGCAACAAAAGTGTCCAATGAAAGTTGAACTGGTGCGACGGAAACGGAATCTCTGTAATCAAATTATATATGGTAATGCTCTATTGGATCCTGTTAGGTCGATTGGAAGTGTAACATCATTCAAACTCAAATTCAATTTTTTTTACTGAATATGTGTTTTAATTCAGATGAGGAATATCTTACTTCTGATGAATACAATAAGCCCGATATTGCAGTTTTTTTTATTTATTTGTTTTTGCTATTGTTATCTGTTTTCATCTTTCAACTCGAGCCTCCAAATGTATTGTGTTTAGAAATCACACGTTAAAAGGTAAGACCTCGTTAGTCCTTGTCTCGTACAAGTTTCCCAACTTCTGAGAGTTGTCGTTCGTATGGGGGTGACAACTGATTAACGGAAAAACAGATTTTAAACAATGTTTTTCAGATTTATTTATTCAAATGCATGATGTATACCGAACTACATCAATATCCTCTGGGATCTATTAACAATAATTATTATTATTATTATTCTTCAACCTAAGTTTGCGCTGGTTAGGCCCTATCCCCCAGTTTTTTTAATGAATGGTGTTCAGCAAGAGAAATTACAATAGTCATGGAGTCATGTGAGAAGTATCATCATCTACTGTTGCACTTAACCTCAGTTAACAGAGGCGCGGGTTTTGTCTTCAATATTCTACTCGCTTAGTGTATCCGAATCCTTCGTATATTATCCACCAATTCCTCAATAATGGAATTATCAGAATTTCAGCAACACTGATACTCCCATACATATTCAGTCACATCATTCGCTTCGAAGTGGAAGAAATTCCACAGTAAATATATCCATTAAGTGATGCCGTGCCAAGCAGAATGTCTTGCATACGGAAGTGCTGATTTATCTGAAGAGGGAGGCGGTACATCGATAAGTGTCTGCAATTTCGAATTCTACGTTCGAATTGTTAAATGTATCCAGAGTGGTTCTGCAGAGTTTAATGGAAAATGGAAATGGACTTGCTAATTGAGTTTTGGCAGAATGATATTTGCAGGATTGTCAGAACAACAACACTAGCTGTCTTATCGAGTTATCTTCTGAGATCTCAAAAAAAGAAAATCCAACCTCCATTCGAAATATTATTGCTGGAGATAAAGTTGGCAGACACAGAGAGAATACTCTATTATACAAATTAATATTGTTGAATGATTTTGATATGCTGAATCTCTGAAGATATTTTATAGTTATTTTTATACAGTGAGTTACAAAAATATTATCAGTTCATCTTTAATTGAACAAAATTATTTTTACTTTTGAATTGAGATTGAAATTTTTGATACTTTTTGTGAAAATCACTTCTCGATGTATCACATACATGTACAACTCACCTGAATGGATTTGAATTGGCAATTTTCGCTGGAAAAGAGGATGACGTCATGATTGGATCCGATCTTATAGTGCAGTGGTCGCCAACCTCTTCAATGTGTCGAGCTACTTTGTTAATTTTGGAATAAACAGCGAGCTACCCACACGGAAGCCACGTAACGCAACGTAAATGAAATAATCCACAGTTAATCTATCATTATGTGTATTTATTTTACTATTCAACTGGTAATACATAATACGTAGGTACTAATAATAAACTAATAACAAAATAACTAATATTACTAGTACGTACTTGTTCATAGCTACATTCCTACCTATCAAACGAAGGTGTTTGAAAAATAAACACAAACTTTTATCCAGCCACAACGGCATGTCACGTATGATTTAAAAATAGTTAATAATAACAACAAAAAAGTAACGCACTATCATGAACATAAACAATGAAAAATAATGATGCCAGATAGGACATCATTAAAACGTTTCAACACCCGTCCTCTACTTAACCATCGGACTTCAGAGTGAAGGAGTAGGTCCCCGTATTGACAGTCAACTTCATCGACCAAGGTTCTGAATAATCTTCTTTGTAACGCTTGAGCTCTTATCTCACCAATTTCATAACGTTGTTTAGTTTCAAGAAATTTCCACATAATGCTTGCTGATGGATAATGCAGTGGTAAAAGAGAAATTGCGGAAAAGTTTCATCTTTACGACATAACGCCACCAGACCCTTATCACAACCCACCATAGCTGGAGCGCCATCGATTGTCAAACCTACCATTTTCGATATTGGAATTTTCTCGGAAGAAATAATATTTTTTAAATGAGAAAACAACTCATGTCCAGTAGTGTGTCCTTTCAGTGGAATGAACTTCAAAAGATCTTCTTCAATCGTAAAATCAATAAAATCCATCCTGACGAACACGGCCATCTGGGCAGTGTCAACGACATCTGTTGATTCATCCAGTTGAAGTGAAAAATAAACACAGTTATCTAAGTCAGTTCTCAACTGTAAAAAAATATCATTGCTCATTACTTCTACACGTCTCATCACTGTATTAGCAGAAAGTTGCATAGATTTTATAGCTGAAACTATCTCGTCTTTATTTCAAAAGTTGGCAAATAACGAATCAGCAGCTTCTAAAAACGCCTGTTTTATCATTTCCCCATCTTCATAAGGTTTCTTTTTTTGTGCAATTATCTGGGACACACGGTACGATGCTTCAGTTGCAGCCTTATTTTTGTCGACTGTTCTTAAAAATATTGATTGTTGTCCAATTAACTGCTTTTTTAACTGTTTCAGTTTCTCCTTTCTGGCGGCAGAATGTAGTGGGAATGATTTTTCAAAATAAGAATGTACAGTTTTATGATGTCTCTCAATATTTCCTTTTTCAGCAACGGAGACCGAAGTTTTACATAACAAACACACATTTTTATCTTTAACTTCTGTAAAAAAGTATTGTTCTTCCCATTCCGAATGAAAGTGGTATGTCTTTACCTTCTTATAACTGCTTGCCATAATATTATTTTTGTTGTTCTCTACTAACCCAACCGCTGGACGTTGGTTACGCGTTCAGTTTTAAACTAAGCGCAATGTCGCCGCGCCGTGCGTATTTATCCCGTTCGAAGCAATCCAGATCGTTCTCGAACACTAACGCGCTGGTCCGGCTGGTCGGTTCTAGCCGATTCTAGCTTGATGGCTTCAGCGGCAGATCGCTCACCGCAACGTTGCCGCTGTTTATGTTTAATATTATGACAATTAGATTTTTTTGTGGAATTTTCGGAAGCTTCTCTGATTTTTGCAGTTTGTATTTTTTAAATTAAAATCGTTGTGAGAGCTACCAGAATTGCCTCCGCGAGCTACCGGTAGCTCGCGATCGACAGGTTGGTGACCACTGTTATAGTGCATTATCTTGATGAAACAACTTTTGTTTTTTTCAAATGGTTCAGTTTTTTGCGATTTCGTCCTTCAAACGCTCCAGTAACGCTATGTAATAGTCGCTGTTGATAGTCGATGAATATTATATCACGTGCATTTGTACACGAGTCTTTTGAAGGTTAGGGTTAACTAAAAATCATACGGATTGAATACTAGTAGCGCCATCTTTATGTTACCCTATGAACCTTTTAGCCCACCTAATATATTATGAAAAACTGTATTAATTTGCTGAATACGTCCATTGCTTACTACAAACTTTTTTTTTCTTCAAGAGAAAGAGGGTAACAATCCAGGATGCGTTTGAAAAGAGAAATGATTGATTCATTTGAAAACCACCCCCAAAGCTTCTACTCGTAATTATCAACCGCATGAATGATTTCGTCTGGTGATTCCATTATTGAGGCCCACTGCAAGTATCAGTCCTTTCTAATGGCCCTCTCTAATGGCCTTTATAATGAAAAATCAATTACACAGATGGATAGCGTCCCACGGATATTTTTTCTCGTCGATTATTGAAATGTCCTGGCGAGATAATGGAAAAATGAAAGTTGATTTGCTTTCTCACACAATTTGTGTATGTTTCAGACATGCTGACTCAAGGAAATTATTTAGATATTGAGAGTTATGTCCAAATAAGTAGTTTTAGAAACTATAGGTAGTTATAGGTACTCAACGTTCGTCTACCAACACAAAGAATTTCTTTCATTGCCTCAGTTCTGTTATATTGTCTCCTGGTTTCCTCATATTCTGGACATTCTACAAGTATATGTTGTACTGTTAGTACTATTTGGCATGTAATACATAGATGTTGTTGTTCTCCTAGGAGCAAGTAAAGATGTGTCATTTTTGTATGGCCGATTAGCAAGCGTGTGAGAACAACTTGTTCTTTTCTGGTCAATTTCACTGGTGAGATTCGCTTATTCACACTTAGTTTTGAGCATTTCAGTCTCGCGTCAGTTTCATTACAAAGTCAGATTCTTCCTTGTTTTTATCATAATTCTTCAGATCTTCTAAGTGGAGTGGTACATCTTCATATTCGTTACAGTTAGCAATCATTCTAGCTGCCTTGTCTAAATCCTTGTTGTTCTTTATGCCACAATGACAAAGCACCCACATGAAGCTGACAGTTCGACTACTTTCCTTCATAACATGAATTCTAGCAAGATTTTATGGAAGTCAACAAGTCGGTATGTATATATATATA